CAAACGTTTAAAAAGTTGTTTATTTCTCAAGAAAACGTTCACGTTTTTAGTCGTGTTTCTACAAGATTAAAGTGATTATATGTAAACAGAAAAATATTTCAGTTTCATAGCCTAATTGTTCATTTTTAGCAAAAAGTACAAAACCAAACATGAAAAAAAAACACGTCCACCTGTTAGTAGGCTGTTACAGCTCATAGATTGGGTAAACGGCAGGATTCAATTAGCTTCAACCTTGTTTTCATCGATTTAATCCTTCACAATAATCCTTGACTGTCCATAGCACTCAAATAAATCGAAAAGTTGACAAAAACAAAACAGTAAAAGCAACATTGCGGCTCGATTTTGCTGAATGAAAACTCGTTCTGCGCCCGCGTACAATCTTTTACTAGTCAGCGACGCTTTTCAATAGGGGAATTAGGCTATTTTCTAACTTTATTTGCATTTTACTCATTAGTTTCATCGGTGACCTATCTTCAAATTTTGACCACGAATTTATTTTGCGGTAAATTTTATAAATTTCAAATTTTAAAAAAATCTGTAGTGTGGAAATTTCGCAATAAATATTTTCGCTTTTAAAAAAATCACACACTACAGAATTTTTTTAAACTTTCACCACAGTTGCAGAGCATCATTCCTTATTGATATATGAAATAAAAAAGATAGGTCACCGACATCGTTTTTGAGATAGCGGCACATTTATGGGTTAAATTGGAAGGCTTTATGCTGTCGTCATGTTGCCATGGGAACATTGACATCGTCGAAATCTAGTTCGAAATATTCCTTAGGTGACCAATATTGCCACCAAGTCGAAAAGAATTCGCGTTTTGCACGAATAAGCCTGTTTTACGGAATTATTGCTTAAACAAGAATAACTGTAGGGAGCCACCTTAATTAATGTTTTATTCCTATTCATAACACAGCTCTTAGTTGGACCCCTGTGACTGTACTCGGAAATTCTCACCTGGTTTTTAATATATAAAATTTTATAGTCAACCAATTTTACCATTTTTGGAGCTCTTTTTTGTAAAGAAAGTGAAGATGTCTGACTCCGAATCGGATTCAGATCTGGCTGTTGAACAGTATGATCCAGAAGACAATCTGAACGCTTAATATGGATCGCCAGTCGTACAACCTGTGGACGAAGAGATTTTGGCAGTTGCACCTGCACGTCAAAATATTGAAAGTAATCGAACTCAAGTAAGTGTTCTTGTCTTATGTTTAAAAATAATCACATTTTATAGTATTTTATTTATAGTGTTTTTTGAACAGTATACTACAGAACGTGTATTTGCATATTGAGTATTTATTTACTTAGTTTTGTGAATGCAAGAATACATGCAGCAAGCGAAGTGGGAGGAAAAGACGTGGGTGCCCGTGTCGCGATGATATGCTTGCTTGCACTCAGCAATGCTCATGTGGAACAAAAAAGCTCTTTGCAGAAAGATACGAACGCTGGAAGAAACGCTTTCGAGCACCATCGAATTGCTGTTGAAGAAGCCAGACAACAAATAACGGTAGGGATATAAACGAACTTTGCTTTCAGTTGCCTTATACCTACCTGTCTGGAAAGTTTAAAGCAAAAGTGCTGACTGAATACATCTTTAGTCCATACAGTTTGTTCCAAGTTTGTGCCCTTCAGTTACTTTTATAAACAACTGTACGACAAAATTTGTAACGGATGCGATCATCATTTAAATTCCAGTGTTGGTAGCCTGTATCTTTGTGGTTGTATTAAAATGTTCAGCACACGTGTAAACATGAGAAAAGTATTGTTGGCTTTTAAATATTAATATTTACTTTTGTTACAGGACTTTATTACCAATTTGAATGGAGAGCAAAAGGACAAAATATTGTTAGAAATATTGTCAAATGGCAAAGGAAGTTTGGATTTTGCAATAAATCTGGTGCAATTTGGAGGAGACCCACCCATGCAGCCTCAAACAAAACCATCCTGGTGTACATGTGGGGTATGCCGACCAATGCCAACGGATCAAGAGAACAAATGTTGTGGAAAAATAAAGTGCACAACATCATATGTGACATTCCAGAACACTTGTCTCGAGAGAGATGTATTAATTATGGCTATTAGAGGAAGATGTGATTTGAGGGCAGAAGAACCCGACTATTCTACAAACAGTTTTAGGAAGGCGACATACCTACATTTTATGGAGGTACAAAAAGTTAGGGAAGGGTAACAGAAAGGTTTGCCCATCCTGTGTGGTCTTGGCTATTACACACATATATCCAGCAGATGATGGAATATACATGCAATTATATAAACCTTGTGATATATCATACTTGAAAAAATTCTTTAGGAAATAATATGTACATATATAATACATATGTACATGTAGCCTGTAACAATGCCAGCCATAGCAGCTGGTCATGCTAAACTATAAACAAAGTTGTTCTTAAATGGGTCTGAAGGTAACAGATTTTCGAAATAGTTGAATGTTTTAATCATCATACCATTAATGGCAAAACAATTTTACCACTTTAAGCATCAGGTTGCAGTCTGTGGCTCTGGGTCTTCATCACCCTGCTGCTATACATTATTGGCAGAAGCACTGGTGTGTACAAATCTCGAAAGTACGTGACTGTTTAACCAAATCATCTGTTTTTGGTATGGGATGAAATGAAATTGACGGTGCAATATTTTTTGGATGCTCCTCGGAAATTTCCACTCTACGGTGCACACTATCATCATCATCAATCCTCTTCTGGATAATCCGGGTAGATAGTGTGGGCCAAAAGTCATATGTTTTCAGATCTTTGACAGGCACAATCCTATGATTTTTCAAACGTTTACTGTAAACTTTGTTGTATTTAAGTTTACCAGTGGCACTAACAGCATTTTTCCGAAACACATGTGTGTTATGATCAATGGCTGCCAGATAGGTTCTACCAATAAATGCTTCATTTCTGTAAAAATCAAAATGTAATTTGTATACTAAAATGTCTAACGAAAGAGGTAAAGATGACTCTAAAAATTCCATTGCTGGCAATTTAGAGTCGAATTTTTTTTTTCACTCTGGTAATCATGTGGCACTCTGGGCCTCTTGGTCAGCCCCCCCCCCCCAAGTTAAAATGTTCAGTAACTTTCCTATGCTCCTAATGAAGGAGCTGTACATGAAACCGTGAAGACGGATCACTTGGAGTGCTGCATGCTTTAAACATAATTAATAGTGAAAACTTACTGGAATCCAACTCTTTTTGGTGCATAGTTTAGTAGCATAACATTTAAAATGCTTATGTCACAAAAATTGTTTTTTGATATTTGGCAGAGGACAAAAAGTTAGTTAATAGGTTCTTTAACATTTTTCGGTTTTCTCTTTTCATTCGCGAGATATGAGGCTCTAAACCTTGAAAAATTGGCTTTTAGCGAAAAATTGTCGCGCCCGAGAAAAAACCGGAAAAGGGTCTGGGGCGAGAGCCGTGTGACGTAGCTTAAGGGACGGAAGTTCGAATTCACATGTGAAGGAGTACTAAAAACCTATTGGGAAGACATATGTTTTCCAGCACTCATGGTTCTCAATGTGACTCAGAATACAATTATATTCCTAGGTATATTATACAGGATGAATCAAATGATACTAGTCACGAAATTGGAACTCTAGAAGCAGTTGATAGCGAAATTTTAGGCGATTATGATGCATATTGTCTTTATGCCGATGAGCCGCTAGCGAGCCAAGAATGCTACGCGCGATATTAAAACTATGCGGAACACAAGGAACAAAACGAGATGCTAGAACGAAGATTAGACGGCCTTGAAGATATTAAATCATGGTGAGCGTAAACATAGATGTATTTAACATTTTAACGGCGTAAAACAAGTATCTCTGGCTGATATATTTTTGATACGGCATCAGTCACATCAAACCCTCACCTGTATCATATTTCACAAGTGTAAAAGTGGCGATTGTGCGATAATACATATACAATATACACACGAAGCTTGGTGCTGTCAGGAGATGGAATCTTGTAGGGATGTTCTGAAGGATAACTTCGTTTTAGAAGATGTGCCACAGCCGCCGTGCTGTATCACTCTACACTCGGGATTCAGACCTATTTGTTTGGAAAAATGGGCTCTAAGAAAACTTGCGACTGGAGAAAATACAATCGTTCAATCGTTCGTATTAAATAAACGTGATCACAGATAAACACTGTAGCCTCAAACAAGAATATATACGTAATTTGCTCTGAACCAGTCTGTTTATATTTTCTTTGATCTTGTGTCTTGTATTTTCTTGCGAAGGTGAGGGAAGTGTGGTTTTAACTCTTTGATGTGACTGATGTCGTATA